GTTTGGCTGAAACCGCATCCAGCTCATTAATTATGTGTTCTGCATCTGTGCTGGAGTTTTATATTTAACACACTGTTTGTGTTGTGCGGAGTACTGTCGTGACATGGTGTGTGCGGTGCATTGATTGGATGTTTGTTTGTTGCCATGGTAGTGGTCAGGGGAAATGTATAGCACTCTGGGATTGCATCTGCTGCGGGAAGGGGGAGAGACTATTAGTCGGACTGTCAAGTGGTCTTAATGAATCTCAGAAAAACAGCTTTCGTGTTTGATGTAGTCATGCTTTGAAAAATCTCTTCCAACAGGTGGGGAGATGAGAGCCAGCTAGAAATTGCTAAATGGCTTTGGAATTAGCTGGAGAATAATCAATGAGCAATCATTGACCTGCTTATATAAAAAGAATAAATACATATTTTGAGTGTTTCACTATTCTGTGCAAACGTATCAGTACAAACACTGGAATGAGCAAACCTAGTCCAGACTTTAGTCTTGTTCGACAAGTTCAATAGGAGGTTTCAGTGGGTAATTTAGTCACAATGGGTTATTTTCTTTCATTAACTCCAATGGAATTGTTAGTTGGAAGATTTCTGGGATGCATTTACTCTAATTGATTCTACAAAGACTCACCTGGGTGTTATGTTACAGTCCTCTTCCAGTCAAATAATTTGTTTTTGGCTTTTCTGTGGATCATGTGCATTTAGCCTCACTTGCAACAAAAACAACTTGCATTTATATGGCAGACGGTAACTCAGAGTACTGATTGATATCAGTGTACAGATCTATAGTATAGCATTTCATTATTGGAGTTTCATCCCTATCCCCTTCCCAGTTTTCTGAAGATATTTTTGATTCCATTTTTTGTTTAGACTTAAAGCATGGTTCTACCTGCATCTGCTGCCATTTGGTTTCTGTCTTGGTGTCTGCAAGACAGTGAGTCTCGATGGACTATTCTGTCCCGGACTATTCTGTCCTGAGTCAGTCTGGGTGACTCACACTGAGGGGACAGTGCAGATAGGTTGGTTTCAGAATTAACAACACATCTATCTATGCACATGCAACTTTCCGCAGCTATTTCTTTCAAGATGATTATTTTTTTACTCCTCCATAATCTGCATTGCTGAGGTCAATTGTTTTTTGCACTCACTGCTCCTCCGATTTGGGATTCCACTAAATTACCACCGACTGGGCTCCAAACCTGAAAGCTTCCCAATGTCGGTGGTCAGCTTCTCACTGGGTAAATGTACCAAGCCACTGGGGAAGTGTGCATGTAAAGGTAAAGGTAAAGGAGAGGAACTTCTACACCGAGCAATTAGATAATAATTTTATTGTATAATAATCCTTACATTTGATATAGCGCCGTATCACGTCGTTGAGACGCCTCAAAGTGCTTGACAGGATTTACTGCAAAGTGCAGTGACTGTGTATTTGCAGACAAATGCAACAGCCAATTTTCGAACAGCAAATTATATATAACCTGCGGCACCCTCCACACCAGATCTTCCATTACCCGTCAGTCCTGGAAATATTTTCCCTGAAGGTCTGTTCAGGAAAGAATGATAGCAGTATGGTGCATTCAAAAATACTGACCCCACCCAGTTGAAAACTTGCACCCCCAAGGGTGCATGTTTTCAATTGGGTGGGGTTATTTTTTTAAACAAAGATTTATTTAATTTTCCATTATCAACAGCTCTTGAGATTTTTTGTTTTTTTGAAAAAAACCACTGTGAATCACATTTTAATGTCCTTGTGTCTCTCTGGCTTTATTTTTTCCTTCTGGTATAATTTTTTTTCTATGAATCTGCCTGTGTCCTGTGTTCTCTTTGTTCTATTAGTCTTTGATTTTTCAATTTTCTCTCTTCTTCGCCACTGTCTCTTGCTCTTGATTAGATTTTTGAGGAAAAGAATTGGGAGCCTATCCAGCAATCCTCCTTACATTACAGTTTCATTTATTCTTCATCTTTTCACTTTATAAAGTGTTTTTCCTCAGTTTTTATTTTATTTTTTTCATTTGATACAATATTTTCTATTCCCACCTTAAAATCCTTTACCTCCACCGCCCCACATACCATTTTACCGACCGAAAGGGCATTCCGCAACTGACTCCGAGGCTTTGTGTAACCTGCCACCAAGGGGCATGGAGATGACATGGAATGAATCTCTGTACAAGTTTTTCTTGACCTCTGGAGAAACACCTTGCTTCACCTTCATAACTCTGCCTCAGCCAGCAGTCAGGCTGAGATTAGGAGCCCAATGGGAAACCAAACTGTATGTTCTGGACCATTGACATTAGGTACACTTACATATCACACTTCCTGGCTGCCTATGTTAGTGTTATTCATTGTTTTTTTTTGGTCAATCGGGTGTCTTGATACATGTGGAAACCCATCACCATGCTTAAGTCTTCTTTTCCATTTTTATGTATTATTTCTATCTTCTTCATTTGTTTCTTTGCTGTGTTGATAATGTTTGGCGCCCAAATAGTGTTTGCAAAGTAGAAATAAAGAAAGCAAACCAGGTTGCTGAGCTACATTGCCAGATCAGTTGTTCAGATGCCCAGAACTCATTTCCAAGCTTTGAGGCTCGAAACTGCATCAACCTTGTTGGTTTTCCAAATAAAAACTGCTTGATTGCCTGGAAACAAATCTTTCATTTCAAGCATTTTAAAAATATAACCCTTTTTTTTTAAAGGTGCTCCTGTTCCAAAATGCTGGCTGTGAGTTAGGAGGATGAAGAAAATGGTAAGTCAATGTAATTTTGGAATTGGAAAAGATACGATAGATTTACTATGTAGAATAAAATAATATTCCATTTAATTAAAAAGAGAGCAGTGAATGGGAATTCACTACCTTAAAATGAGGGGTATAGGGAATGGGTTCATTTGGCTCATTATATCATCGAAGCTCCCATGAAACGTATTTCAACAAAATTCCTTCAACGGTGTAGCAGCAAAGTAGATGGAAAAAGGTAATTTAAGATCGAAAAAGACATGCAATTGCGCCACTTGTGCTTGACGGAATTGTGTCAATAATAATTACATTTGGTATAGCCCCTTTCACATCGGTAGGATGACTCAAAGCACTTCACAAGATTTACTGTAAAGTATAGTGACTGTATGTTTTCGTGGGTGAAAATGCCAGCCAACTTGTGCACATCAATATCGCACCAACAGCAATGAAGTGAATAACCAATTTTTATTTTGGGGGATTGTTGACAGGACACCTGGAGAAACTCCCTTTTCTTTTAAAATGGTGCCATGGGATCTATAACATCCACCTGAACAGGCAGACAGGTCTTGGTTTAACATCTCATCTGAAGGACAGCCCCTCGAACAATGCAACACACTCCCAGTACTGCATTTGAGTGTCAGTTTAGACAACACAAGTTCCAAAGACCGATGTGGGGCTTGAACTCGCTACCTTCTGATTCTTAGGCGAGAGTGCTACCAAATGAGCCAGGCTGACCCTGCCATCATGCTGGAATTGAAGACTCCGAGAAGATAAATGCTTTTGCTTCCGGAAGCAATAATCTACAACTCTACTGGTTTAACTCACTTTACAATCCCGAATTGAAAGTTTGCCGCCCAGTTTTGATGCAGACAATACTTAAATGTAATTTTTAAAAGTAATTTTCTAAGTATTTCTCCATTTCAGGCGAGCACACTGGAAGGGTGGTGGAGTGGGGAGGGTAGGGAGGGAGAAAGAGAGGGCTTGTCACATATTTAAACAGTCAAGGGTGCTCGCTAATGATTGCTTGTTCATGTAAAGAAAAGCGAATCTGTTGCAAGGTTTTTAATTGTGATTCTCTGTGCATTGTGTAAGTGGCTATTTTTTTCACATCCAATATAGATGCAAATTGCACATAATAGTTTGATGTCTTGGCTTTTGTGAGACATGTTCAGAGGCATGAGGTGATTCCTCCCTGGGGGCTGTGGGGGTCAAAGCTACATTGAATTCATTTTGCAAGACTTCTTTGTAATGTGTAATGAAGAGAGCCATTTATTTTCATTTCCTTATCCTTAATTACATGCATCTTACTTGGAATATTAACCTAACGGTACAGGTGGTTGGAATTCCAAGGAAAGCTTATATAGTTATTCTGGCCAGGATCCAGCTTCCCTTTCCAAATTGGGGAAAGATTGAGATTGCAAACTAAGTCCTGTACATTCAGTCCGATATCTGAATTTTTTTATCCAAAATGTAAAGGCGTTTTCTGAAAATAACCAAACGCAGTCAAAGCAATCAATAACAAGGATTACATTTGATCAATCACCCCTGTTTTTTGGAGAGAGAAATGTTAGGATCTGTTTTGCCCACAAATATACAGTCAATTCACTTTACAGTATATTCTGTGAAGCGCTTTGAGACATCTCGAAGATGTGATAAGGTGCTATACCAAATGCAAGGATTATTATTATATCTGCATCTGGGTGGTTGGTTGGGTAACATTCTTGAGATAGATACCATTTCACAGGGTTAATATGGCTGCAGTCTGGAGTCGCACTTTATTTCATTTAATTTAGCAATAAACTGATTTTAATTGATTGTTTTCACTAGATGTTCACAGTTTGCTTGTACATACTCATACGCTGGGGTTTGTGAGTGCTTGGGGATTAACCCTGATGGTAAGGTGCCGTGAATCAACAGGATCTGTTTATTCTGTGAATGTATAAAGCCTGTTCACATTGATCCTCGATAAAAATGCTGTGGATGTGGTTCATTATTAGTGTACGTGTTTATTATCTCTGCGTGACTGTGTACATTTCATTACTTTATTAAAGAAGCCGTGATAAATTTAATTTCGATTGGTCTAAACTGGAAACCAGCCGAACTCTTAAGGAGGACGTGAAGAATAGCGAAACCCCATCCGTGCAGAAGTGTACAGGTTTATTACGGATTGATAAAAAAGTAATCTGTAGTAGGTGTGCACTGAGCCTGTGTGTGAGTGAGTGTGTATGTGTAGTGGCAGCTGCTGGGGTGGGAGTGGTGAGCATTACTGGGAGTGGCTCATTATTGAAGCTTTCTGTGCTGCCTTTCAGAGGCTTTTACTTATTCATTATTCTCAGGGAGAGCTGCCAGTAGCAGCTTCTGAGCTCTTCAGCGCTTTAGACTACAAGCTGTGACCGTTGGGTGGAAGACTTGCTCTCCTGTTAGTAACCCCTGGCTGTAAATTCTACAAGGACAGCTTTTTTTTTTAATCTTGCCAGTCCAGCTGGGCAGTGCTTGCCTGAGTTGACATGGACTGTTGAAAAGTACTGGTTGACGAGTAAGAGGAAAGGAAAGAAAGAGAGAAAGAAAGAGAGAGAGAGAAAAAAAAGACAGACTGGACTCTCTCTCTCTCTCTCTCTAGTACACTAAAAGGAACCCAATTGCTGTTCCCAGTCCTTATCAGCACCCAAATCAGAGTCTGCAGTAGGTAAAGCTGGGAAGCAGCAGCTTATCAGTGCTGGTCGTGTGGCCTCTTTGTGTACAGCAGCTGCTATTGAATGCCTGGGCAAACACTGCAGCTCAGCCCTGGGTAGTTAAACACAGACCTAAAGGAACACAGGAAATACATGTACCTGTACTTTCTCTAAACCAGGGATTTAAACCACTTTATAACCCAATCCCCAGGGTTACACCTGCGCATTGCTCACCCTCAACCGAGTTAAGGCTAAGTGGGTGTAGGAAAAAAAAACTTAATACTTAAAAAAGAGTGGTTCATTAACTGAGAGGCTGTTGTTGTTATTATTATATAAAAGAAAATGGATGTACGTTTCTATCCAGCTGCTCCGGGCAACACTATTCCCGGAGATCCTTCTAACCTGGACCTTTCCCAATGCTTGGGATACTACAGCTACAACAAGGTGAACACATTTATTTACTTTATCTTGTTCTCATTTTAACCTACTTCTGATGCCTCTGGTGTAAAGGCTGATTGAATTGTACAATATTGCACTGTTTCTTGTAACTGCAGAGATCATTCTGAGCTATTTCGCCTTCTTTTTGTATGAGTCAATTGTGCCTATTTTGGTTTGCTTTTTTTAAAAAAAAATTAGGAGAAACTATATTCCAAGTGACATAATTGTTGTGTGTCTTATTCTGCTAATGAAATCGATGCAAAAGCACTGAAGGACAAGGGGCTGACAGCAGCATCACTGGGCTCCCAAGACCTGAGAACTGGCTATTTTTTTTTTGGGGTGGAAAACCATAATTTAGAGTCGGGAGAGATTTTTGCAAATATTTTACAGCACTCACTCGCATCCGAACAGCGACTGTCCATGAATGAGACTTTCTGAGACGAATTTGCAAAGTGGATTATTTTGCAAGGCAATGAAAAAAAACTGAGCAATTCACTCCGAACAGTGAGTTGCATCGTTTCTTTTTCTTTCGTCTCTTGTGTGTGTGTGTGTGTGTGTTTTTAAAAAATGGGTCCTTTTGTCAGTGTTCATTCACGAAAAAAAAAAAAGAAATTGTCCAAGAGTTTTTCTCTTTCTCTCACTCACTCACTCACTCTCTCTCACTCACTCCCCATTCGTTAGCAAATGTGAACTGATGAAAACCTGAGCAAAATAAAATAAAATAAAATAAAATAAAAGGGGGAATTTTCCTCCTTTTTAATGCCAATTAAACAATAACAAGTCAACTTCCCCACCCACCCACCCACCCACCCCCTGGCTGCAGAACCACCACTATTTGGGTTCCTGGGAATCATGTGAAAACCAGGACATTGCCTGGGAGTTGTGCAGGTGGAGTTTCAAGCAGTCGAACAATTTTGTTTTGCCAACTTAAAAAGTTTTCAAAACTGTGTTGCGATGTGACTGATGGTGTGGGTAAGGGAAACGAGCCTCAGCTGGACACACCTGTCCTGCAGCTCCTGTGGGACTGAATTTTGCTGCAGGTCACAGTGGCAGTCAGCACCCAATATATATTGCCCTTCTCCCAAATGGGTTTTGGAGGTTTTTTTTTTTTGCCTTTGCTATTGGTGCTGTGGGTGCTTTTCCCCCAAACCATTTCCAAGTCTCCCAAGCAACAAGTTGTTCCGTTATCTTTAAGCTGTACGGTGAGGGGCTCTTGGTCTAATTAGTGGCTAATTAGTGTGAGAAAGTTTTTTTCCCCCCCCCCCTCTATTTCACACTCTCTCTCCCTCTCCCCTCCTCCTGCAGTTCTCCATCCAAGTCCATTTGCACACGAATCCCTCGCAGTGTTTTCTGCCAATTCTCTTGTATTCTGCTTTTTTTTAAAAAAAAAGGAGACTGGTCCCTTTGTGCTGCTGAAGAGGTGTATTGTTTCACGTTACTCACGTGGCTGTACCTGTAATCAATACAACCAGTTCCCTCTTCTCGCACAGACAGCACAGGCAGCCTTGACCTTTTCTCTCCGCCTTTGATAATTATACCCTCGATGCTAATTGTTCACATTTAGTTCAGTAAAAGGGAGAACTGCGGACTCCTAGAGGGGTCGGGCAAAATCTGCAATGCTTTTGTCCAATGCCAATAATAGCTTACAGTTGTTAACTCTGCTGGAGCAAAGCTTGCTCACATTTGCAGCATCAGTGCCAGACTGGCTGTTGTCTGTATACTATTTCCAGTTTTTTAAGATGCACAACAGAGCCGTGTTATGTTTTATTGCCTACATTTGCTCAGTGTTGAAACGTTTGAGGCAGTGCCAACACGATTTTTAAATGGTACCTAGAAAGTCCTGAGAAAGTACTTTCTTTTGGTGAACATATTCTCGAAATACTTTGCAAATTACAATATGGAGAGATAATAGTATTTGAAGCCTCCACTCAGATGAGCATTTACCGTTGTTCCATTGACAACTGAACATTAAGTGAAACATTTACAGTGTTTTTTTTTATTGAATCTTTACTCCAGGACGTGTTCAATCATTTTCAGTGCATCAGTGTCATAGAGTGTCGTGCAATATCTGTTCCTTGTAGGTCCAGTGTAGCAAGCTTTCAGAGCTATCGTGGATTTTGTGCAACAAACATTGTGCACTTTCACAATCAAAAGATCAAGTAAAACACAATAAGAGTTTCACTTATTTCACTTAGGACCAGACCAAGTTCATTGGTCCATCTGCTCTATCCATCTGATGCCCCCAATAATTCCTTCAACATCTATCCCATCTTCTAATAACTCTGAATCCTTTTACATTTCTAGTAACTTTAGTTCCTATTTGAAATCCTATATTGTCCCTTGCTTCTCTACCTGTGCTTTTCCCCCATGCCTAATTTGCCTAATTTCTTCTTTTCAAAAACATTCTCATTTTAAAAACATGTAGTTTCCATTTGCTTTTATTGTCCTTGATTTGAGGCTATGTTCCCTTGTTCTTAAGTTTTCTATGCAACAGATAAACTTACTTGAATCCAAATTATTATTATAATAATCCTTGCACTTGGTATAGCTCTTGATCACATTGAAACGTCTCCATGCGCTTCAAAGGATTTCACTCTGAAGTGTAGTGACAAGTTATCAAACCCCTTCAAATTTTAAACATCTCAATCAAGAACCCCTTAGCCTTTAAAGAAAAGCCTAGGATTAAGTTATTTTTTTTGCTGCATTCCTTCTGTTATTTTAAACATCATATTTTGAGACTGGGAGACCAATATTACACACAGTGGTGCCCATATCAAGGCCTGCTACCCATTGCTTTCTATCAGTCAGTGCAATTCTAAAATAATTTCTCTTTACTTGCATGTCATCCCTTTAGTCATACATCGCAACATAATGGTCACATTCTTAACGACTTGGGCACACTGTACTGAGGATAGGATTTTGGTATCAAAACCCCAAGGTCTTTTTCCTGTTCAGGTACCCATTCAGAACACATGATACACTATGACCCTTTCTTTTGTTGAATTCCATCACTTTACATTTTTCTGTATCAAACAACATCTGCCTCCTTTCTGGCCCACCTACCCAACTTTGCCAGATTCCACACATTGATTCTTTGTTACACCTCCTCCAAATATTTTGTCGCTTGAAAATTTAGATGACAATCAAAGGATGCCAGTTTCCAAATCATGTATAACAAAACGCAAATAATAGTAAGCCCTGTGGCACATCACTAATAACTGGCTCCTTGCTGGATACCTCCCCATGACTATCACTCATTGGTTTTTGTCAAATAGTCATTTGCTAATCCAGTTTAATATAATGCATTGCCCTTTATCCCATGGGCCTGAAACATATGCAGTAGTCTATCAAGTGGAAGTGTCTTATTCCACTCTCTAAAATCCTGGTAAAAAAGCATTCACTGTTTTATTCTTACCCACCAGATCTGTAACTTCCTCAATTGATTTGAAGCTTGCTGGTCTGGAGCTTGACAGTTCATTTCCAGTTCCACTTTTAAAGATGGAAGTTACATTTGCTATTTTCCAATTCTCTCGAATTTGCCCGACTGCAATGAACTCTGCAAAGTAGCCATGTGGGGCCTTAGCTACTTCTTTTAGGACGGTGAAACAGGACCCAAGAACATGACAGGAGGTTTAACTATCTTGAACTTTGGCCACCTCTTTAATCCATCCTCCTTCAATATATTAAAGATGTTAATCGCCTTCAAACTGTATTCCTACCTCTGGCATTTCTCCCGCACTTCATTTGTGAAGCTTATTGCAAAAAGAAATTTGGTATTTCAGCACCATCACTATCCTCAAACATCTTTTCATGTTTTAGAAAGCCAAATCTCCCCTTACCTTTTGCTTTGTGTTCTCTGTTCCTTCTACTTATTGTGGAGTCCTGTAGCTCAGTAGCGAGAGATCTGAGTTCAATTCCAGGCAGGGCGAAACCTTGGGCAAGTTTCCTTACTCCACACTCCTAATAATAATCCCTCCAAAAAACCAAAAACAGTAATTAAATTGGTCATTTTCAATCTACGACTGTTTGTGGACATTGTTGTGCGCAATTGGCTGCCGCGTTCGCCCACAAATATACAGTCAATTCACTTTACAGTGTGTTCTGTGAAGCGCTTTGGGACGTCCTCCCAACGTGAAAAGCGCTATATCAAATGCAAGGATTATTATTATTATTATTATATTCTTTACCCATGTTCCTCATTTTTATGCCCTCATCAACATATTGGCATTTCTCAGCCTATCTGTGTAAACCTCCTTCAACTTGTGCATTTCCTAATGCTATCCCGGTTTGCCATGGTGGTATTGTCTTTCTCTTCCGCCCCTTAACTTTATTTTGGGGAGGGAGGAAGGGAATGAACCTGTTGTGCATTTTCAAAAAACTAACTTTAAAGTGTCTCCTCTTTCCTCCATATCTTTTCCATTTTTTTAAAAAACCCTTTCCATATTAAAAGATTCATACCTTCAAAGTCAATTTGCCTTGAATTTTAGTCTTTATTTGTTCCTTCATATTCCACACTAATTTCTACTCAGAAAGCAATACGATTGAGATCACTGGACTCTAGATGCCTCCCATTTATAGTTCAAAGCAGAGCCTTTTGCATTTCTCCTGGTTGGTTTCCTCACATGTTTTTTGACAACAAATCCCACACAACTTCAATACATTCAGTCACATGTGAGCTGTCAGTAATGTAAATCTCAATTTATATTGGGGAAATTGAAATTCCCCGTGATCAATATTGAGGCCCTAGCATTCAGCTGGTGTATGATATTTTGCAGCAAAAATCTCCTCTTTGAAGCGTATTCTTAGTGCTACCTTGCCACCTCCTTTCCTGTTTTTTTTACATCTAACCAAAAATACTATATTTTTCCTTCCCAACAATTAATTCACCCCACCACCCTACCTTTCCCTCTCTGCACTTTCTGAAATGGTCAAAAACCCTTAAGGTTAATTCCCCGACAATATTATTTTTGAGCCAAGTTTCAGTTGTTCCTGGATATGTCTTCCTG